AGCCATTACGTATTGCTAGGCCCCTGCGAAATCGTGAGTACAGAAAACGTGTAGCAGCTATTAGGAACCTCAGGAACAGGCCGCGGCGTTTGCAAGAAAAGCTGCTGAAAAGACAACGCAAAAGCGTACCATCTACTCCTTCCTCTTTTGTATTTCTTACTTTTCCTATCATCGTCCCATCCTGGAACAGAATTACCCAGATTGGAAAACAGATAAAATTACGTGATTTTACGTATCAAAAATTTGAAAAATTGTCATCTTCATTAATTCCCTTACTACAAAACTTATATCACCAATAAGACGTTATCACGTAAACATCTCGATCGTAAACCTACTTTACAAACAACCATTTTTTTCTTACTTCGACTCTATTTTGCTATTACGCAAGCGCAAGCTGCTAAAGCCCGTGACTAAAACCCGTGAATAAAATACTTTAATCACAGCCTTGGTCCCAATCCAAGTAGAAAAATATTTTGCATTTAATAATTATTTGATTTTTATTTTTATTTAACCACATCGGTATAAAAGTAAGATGTATTCTAAGTGGGTGCAGAAAGTACCTTGGGACGTTCCCCAAATAAATTCTTATTGCACTCATCACAATCATACTGAGTTTGAACCAAATCCTCCAATTCCCCACATTTAATCTGAATAATCGGGGCCTCACGAGGTTCAGCAGGTTTTAGAAGGATCTTCTGGGTACCTATTGATGGTACACCTCTTGAGGTGATAAAGCTTCAAATTTGACTTTTTAATTCCACAGGGTCTACTCCTGACTTACTGACTTCATCAATACCAGCAATACCATCATCTTCATCTATAAAATCTTGCTGAGGTGCTATTACCACACCTCCTGATTCTGTTCCTGATCCACTTTTAGAAACCATCAAAAGTCTCATCTCATAAAGGAAAATAATAATAAATATCACAAATATAACCACAATGGCATAATAAGTAATCTCATTATATCTAGCTCTTAATCTTTCCAATTCCTCTCTTGAGTTCTTCATTATCTGTTTCTATCCTTCTTGGTTGATGTTCAACGACCACCACAACATCATCGTCATCCGTTGCCATGTCAATACCTTCATCTGGAGACTCCTCAATTGGTTTAGCTAGAAGTGAAGGTGTATCTCGGATGTGTTTATGGCCCGCAAGTGGTTGTTGTTTAGTAATCATAGGTAGTCCTTTAATAGGGTCATCTCGGAATAGTGGTGGGGGTTCCGGTTGATCTGTTTGGATTGCTTTGGTAGGACTAGGTGATTTTTGTAATCCTGATGATTTAAGTGGTGGTGCGGTTGATGTTGAGGCTATTGGTGTTAGTACAGGTGCTGGTGCAGGTGGAGTTGGAGGAGGTGGTGGGGGTTCTGGGTTTTCTTTTTCCTGAATGGAATCTACTAGGCGTTCATTTCGGGCACGTAATTCTTCTAGTTGGTTCATCAACGCACCGAGTTGACTTCGAAGTTTAAATTTTTCATTCAGAGCTTGCATGTATTCAGCTTTGAAGATGTCTTCTTCGGTGCTATGCTGATTTCTTTTCGTTTTCTTCCTCATTTTGATTGTTATTTAGGCTTTCTTCAACTTACAAAAAATTTCGATTCCATATTTAACCAAATTTAACACTACATAATTACGATGATAATTTTCATAAGGATTTTTTTATTGGAAATTTAAAACGTAGCTGTCACACGCCATATTTATGCGTTTGTAATTTTGGGTGTATCGTGTGTTGCCTATCTTAAAGTCAAAAATCATTGTCAATAAACAAAACACGAAACAAAAAGTCCTGAAAGTTTTTATGAGGAATTTTCTCGTGAATTTTCGATTAGAAATGCAAAACGTAGCTGTCAGATGTCATATTTATGTGTTTTTAATTTTTTTGTGTATTGTGTGTTGCCTATGTCAAAGTCAAAAATCATTGTCAATAAAAAAAAGTTCCTGAACTTTTTAGGAACAATTTTCTATTAGAAATGCAAAACTTAGCTGTCAGATGTCATATTTATGAGTTTTTAATTTTTTTGTGTATTGTGTGTGGCCTAGGTCAAAGTCAAAAATCATGGTCAATAAACAAAAAGTAAGTGCTGAGTAAACAAAGGCATGTATCAAATAATTCTCACGCACGACAAGCTCGTCAAGCGCAAATTATGAATAAAAAACAAGACAAACAAAGATAAATGGTAATAAAATCGATAGGCAAACTGCGATGCATCAAAATAGAACACAATATTCGTTGTACAGGCCGGTTGTCGTAGGTAGCGAACCAACGATGCCGACCACGTGTGGAGCTTTCTCAGGGATTATAATCCTCGCGCAATGTTTCGGTTTGTTTCCGCTCGTTAACGTGCGCAGTGAAAATATTGACAACGGCGAAAATTCATTGAAATTTAAATGGAAATCCTTTCGTTTTGTGCATTCATGTATAATTATCATACTTATTATATTTAATCTTTTGTTTTATACAATGCAAGTTGCCGAAATTGGACTTGACTTTGAAACAACAGGTTAGTAATTAAATTTTTGTAAAAAAAAATTAAAAAATTAAAATTTTGTTTTGTTTGTAGTTATTTTTTTATTTTTTTGTTTTGGACCTGCGTCTACCATGTTATTAATGCACTTGGCCCGAAAATGGCCGAGTATAATGCAGCAGTGGACTCAGGTAGATGTCAAAATGGAAAGTTATGGATTTCCGGTTAACCTCAAAAAACATCTTTACCTAACAACTATTGTGGTTATGTCAGCCTCGCTAAGTATAAAAAACTCTAAACAATCAATAGATAAACATCTAATTAATATTATTTTGTTTATAAATAGTTGAACATAGTTTTTCATAACATACCTCATTAACAAACTCTCCGGAAATGAAAAATGTCACCAATATCTGGATAGGATTAAACGAATACTTGAAAAAGTCGGTTCGCATGTTTTCAGTCACATACCTTACAACCCTGGTTTTGGAATAGCATTTAAAGTAGTCGAGATAACAATTACGTTTGTTTGGAGTTACATGGATGTGTTTATCATGACGATTGCTATTGCTTTAGCAGCAAGATTTCGTCAAATAAATGAAAGAATAAAAAGAATTTTAGAAGATATACAAGAAAAACAAAAATCAACCCTTGAAGAAAATGACAATGTTGATACAAAGGATACAGAACAAAAACAAGAACAAAATGGCGGATTATGGATGGGTATCCGAGAAGATTACAACAGTTTATGTCAATTGACAGCTGTCATTGACGAATCAATAGCTTATATTATCCTTCTGAGTTTTGCGAATAACTTGTTTCTGATATTGGTGCAACTTTTACACAGTATTGAGTAAGTTTACTTTAATTAATTTTTTTTTCTATTTCCACTATTACAGTGTCACTTTTTCTACGGTGACGAGGCACAAAAAGTGGTATTTTAAACACGGGTGGTCAAAACCGCAACTAAAATACTTTAGTCACGAGTTTTAGTCACGGGGTAAAAAAATTAAGTGGAAGTTGAAAAAGTAACGTGAGCATCACTTTGCTAAACGTTGTTAAAGTGTCACTTACCGCACTTGATACTTAATATACTATTATTATTAATATTATTAATATTTAGTGTAATATTTAGGCCACAAGAGAAAACACGCGTCATTGACAGATTATACTTCGTATATAGTTTTGGATTCCTCATTTTACGCACATCTGCAGTAGCAATGACATCCTCACAGATTTATGTAGAAAGCACGCGGCCATCTTGGTTCCTAACCACGCAACTACCCGAAGAATATTGCGACAGTGAAGTGGAGAGACTACTAACACAGATACATGCAACCGGTGGTTGTTTCCTAACCGGAAATGGTTTCTTCAAAATAAAAAATTCTTTAATTTTAAGTGTAAGTAAAAATAACCTCACAAAAAAATATATTTTTAATATTTGTGTGTGTTGGGTTGCAGATTGCAGGCGCTGTGGTCAGTTACGAGCTTATATTCATTCAATTTCATTTGTTATCATAAAATTAATTAATTTTAAATAAAATAAAATAAAACAAAATAAAATTTTGAAAAAAATATTAAAATATCAATCATTTCTGATGTTTGAAGTGAAATGTAAGCAATAATCGAGCAGTGCGTAAACACAAACATTGTTTACCAACATTATTCACCCATTTCACATTTTTCTACAAAAACAAATCATTAATCTTGTATTTTTGTATAAATCAAAGTTTTTTACGCGCGCATTACGCTGACTTCGACGTAGTAGCAACAAAAGTAAACAATAACAACAACTATTATTTTACACTACGCGTAAATATTTACTATTTCAACTTAGGCACAAAGTGTTGCAATAATATTTCAATATAAATAATTCAGCATGCACCCGGTGTAATTATTACCGATATTTTTCATGTTTTCCATGTATTGATGCTCGGTTGTTTACAGTTTCCTACCCGACAAGCACGAGTGTAATCCGAATTGATTGGTGGGGCACTCGATAACAGCGCAAACATGCAAACGAAAATCAATTTCCTATTTTCAGATTCATTTCGCCGCATTTATCGCCACGCGACACAAGCACAAGTAAGTCAATCACCGCAACCCACCTTACACTGTGTATAACTGGTTGCTTTGTCTTCCAGTGTTTTCATCATCGAAAATCACTCCGATTTCAACAATATCAACTGTTTTACCACAAAAACCTCCAGAAGAAAAGCCTCAGACACATACAAAATGTTTCCATCAAATTCTACGCAATGTTTTAATCGTTGCACAGTTATTCGCACAATTACCCATACAGGGTGTAACATACCCTACACCAAACAAGTTAAACTTCACTTATAAATCTTTTTTATCTTTATATTGTCTATTACCATTCTTGGGTAATGTTTTTGTCCTGTGTATGTTAATTTACAAAATGGCCGCGTTTGGTAGTGACTTATTTCTCATTACGTCGTTTATTTATCATGTTTGTAACATGGGTACGACTTTATCTTTGCTTCACGTGGCCGAAAAATGGCCGCCATTGATGAAGCAATGGCATATGATTGAGGTGCACATGCAGCGCCACTATGGCTGGCCGAAAAAGTTGGAATTCCGCGTGAATACCATCGCGATTATAATTTCAATCTTTGCTTTGATAGAGTACTTCTCTAATCATGTCGCTAATATTCAACTGGCACACACTTGTTCACCGCAGGATCCACTCAAATATTACTATGAACAACTCACGTTTCCGTTTATATTCGCCATTTTGCCTTATCAGCCAACAAGTGCGGTTTTTATTACACGTGATTGACTTTTTTCGGGCTTTACATGGTGCTACGGTGATTTATTTTGTGTGATTGTATGTCGTCGGCTTTTGGCTGTGAGGTTTCAACAGATTACCACGAGGTTGAAGAGATTACTGAGGAACAAGGGAGTCGGTGTTGGAGGTTGGAAGGCGCGAGGAAGAATCACGCTGAGGAATCGAATAAATTGTGGAAGAAGAGATAAAGGGAGGATTACATAATAAATTATATGCGTTTTGTGTCGGACGCTTGACGATGCCATTTCGTATTTGGTCTTGATGTCCTACAGCGCAAATTTATTTTTATTTTGATACAACTTTTCAACAGTTTAAAAAGATGGAAATATTAAATTTTTTCCATTTCTACCTTTAAAATCAATGTTTTCCACTGTTTTGAGACATGAAAAGTGGTACTTTACTCATGGTCGTGACTAAAGTATTTTAATCACGTGTTTAGTCACTCCGTGAGTAAAAATGTCTTTTAGCGCACTTGATGCTTAATATACTATTAAAACATTAAAATTTAATATTTTTTCTTTCTAGGAATAAAAATACGCGGGAAAAAATTTATTTCTTCTTCTCATTTGGTTTTTAATCAGCCGCACGATTTCTGTGAGTTTATACGCAGCAGCGTGGTTAACGATGAGAGTAAAACCATTGTTAATCATAAATTCCATCCCGAGTCATCTCTTTATAACCTAGAAATCAAGCCAGTTTATTGCAACAGATTAGTTTTGATTCTGTTGCGTTGACGAACGAACATTTTTTTTCATGTTACAAGAGGGCTAATTTTAAGTGTAAGTTAATAAATGAATCAAATTCTTGATATATTTCTTTTTTGGTTTAATATTAATAATATTAATTATTTTTAGGTTGCTGGTACAGTGACGTATGAATTGGTGTTGATTCAACGAATGAAAATTTACTCTAAAGAAGACTCTACGATCTTATTAGATGGCCAAATGGGTGTGTTAAATTAGTTGATTTAATGTAGTTATTTAATGTTTTGTGGCTTTTGATTAGATGTATAATATATATAATAAATATAATAATATAATAAAGATAAGCGGGTTTTCCGGTTCATAATAAATGATTTGGTTACTATTGAAACCTAAAAATCAGTTTATTGCCACCTGATAAGAGATTTCGCGGTGCAGATACGAATATTAATATTGAATATATATTACTGTCAGTGTTACACTTCATATTTTATTTATTAGGTACAATATTGGTGCCAACTAGTACTTATTTTAATGGATTTCTACATTGAAGTGTAGGTTTGAGGTTATGTATATGTGGGTCGAACATAAATATACGCAAACAAAAAAAGTAAAATTACTTAAAGTCTACTTAAATGAAAGCATTTACCGATATGTTTTATTTGTATTAGTATTAGTATTAGATTTTAAGTTCTCATGTGGTTTGAGATGGTAGTTTAGTCATCGAACATAACACTATGCAACCAAATAAACATGTATTACTTAATTTTCATAAATAATTCCTACATTTTCAACAAATAACTCACTCATTTCAATCCGCAGATGATCATGCCATTGTTGAGCGATAACCGGAACCTTTGCAAACACTTCCTCGCAGATAAATGCATTCGATAACACTGCGTACTGCTTCAAACCTTAATTAATTCCTTTTACGCACTTTGATAATAATAAAATTCGTTTGGTTACACTTCATTGCAGTTTATACTTCACCGGTCACAATTTGTATCATATTTTTTTTGTATCATATGTTCACGCATTTAACTAATATTTAAGCTAAATTAACTTCAGTTGCGAGCGAATAAACAAAATTAATTAATTAATTACGATGTGTACGTTTTCGGTATTGAATTGCATACGAAAACACAAAACGTATCTTAGTGTTGAGTCAATGTTTCAGTTTAATACAGTTTCGGGGTGTTAAAATTGGAAAATTAAAATATAAGTAGTAGTAGTTTAAAATTTTGGTGACTGTATTTGTTATTAGCAGCGCATTTTGTTATATGGCATCGATGACTGTGGTGATTTTGTTTTCGAACGGTTTCTTTTCGTTCTTGTAGTAAGTAAATTGGCTATTTTTTGTATTTGTTTTTTGTTATAAAACAGCAAATAATTTAATTTTAATATTATTATAGATGTAATAATGATATATATCCCTGGATTTTTTATTACACTGGCAATTTTAAATATCGGACAAGATTGGCCTGAGTTGTACAGCAATTTCGCCGTGTAGAAAGAACTTTTAAAGTCAAATTGTTACAAAACACAGAAAAATGCAAATCTTTATTCACCAGCACGCTTTTAACTACATTATTCATTTATCAATCCACAATGTAAGTATTAACTGATATAATTAATTAAATAGCCGTTCAAACCCAAAGTACGAGTTTCCAATAGTTTGGGTTGCAGTTTAATATAGAACGCAGCACTATGCAAGCAACTAAGCATATATTACTTAAATATATTAAGTAATATAATAAGGTATTAATTATAATAATTATTAATAATAAACTTTAGAGTGAATATAGTTTTCTATCGCTGAGTGTTTTGATGTTATTGCACAGACGGGCAACGTAGAAGATTTAAACGTCTGGAAGGTCATGATAAAGAAATCTTCTCTTTTATCACTGACTACGTGCGATATTCGTCTCTTTTTAGCATTTTGCTGGTAAATAATATTCAATTTATTTACAAACACAAATTTAATTAAATTTATTTATTATTTCTTAGGCAATAAATTTCTATTGTACTGCATCTGGAATTTCGTAGTTTGTTCATTATAATCATGTGTGTAATGCAATTTGCGAGAAAATTTGAGGCTATTGGAAGGAAAATTCTGAAAAGTTCACGAAGAACTGGAAAATGAATATTACTGGCAGAAAATGCGTAGGGATTACAATCAACTGGCAGAAGTTATTTTATTATTTGGATCAGAAAATTTCTGGAATTGTTTTTGCTATATCATTTGCATCAGATATGTATTTTATTCTTGTACGGTTATTTCGAAGTTTGAGGTAAGTAAACAACTTTGAATTCACGTACAAAGAAATTCATGTGGATATCAATATTTAATGTAACGTTTTAAATATTGTTTTTATGCAGAGATCGGCAAAACAACGCAGTAAGTGATATTTACTGATTAGCAATTGAAGTATCTTCCGATTTTTGATATTATTTTGTATATTTGCTGGTTTTATTGAAAGTTATTGCGGATTTTAATAGTTGCGAAAAACTTAACCTGAAGCATTAAAATTTACACCAATTTCATCTTTAATATAGTTTTAGAACTTTTTCGTTGTTTTAGAAGTTTTTTAATGCAATAAAACTACTAGACGAATAGATTAATATGCTAGTCAGGCAAATTTGAGTTTTAAGAGTATGGTGGGCTATCATAAAATAAATTGGTAGAAAATTAATATTGGAATATAAAGATATTTACAAAATCTTGCTGTGACAATAACGTACTTTCTCCATATCTTTATTTAAAAAGTGCGTTATGAATTAACTTATGTTGATTTTGTAATATAACACAATATATTGCGGGCAGATGTCGCTAGCATGCAGTTATTTGCATTAAATCTTGTTTGATTGGTAGTGTGTGAGAAAAGGTAAATGCTGAGACACAAATGCTGAATCTCTTTGCTTTGTGACCTCGAATGTTGCGAGCAGGTATACAAAATAGTTATATAGTAAAATTTCAGATGGCGGTACGATGCACTATTTGCATTTAATTCTGAATACACAAAACTTGTTTGTTTCTTTGTATGTATCAGTGAATGTGCACTGCGATAAACATGAATTTCTTGTACGTGTGAATTCAAAGTTGTTTACTTACCTCAAACTTCGAAATAACTGCACAAGAATAAAATGCATATTCGATGCAAATGATAGCAAAACAATTCCAGAAATTTTTCTGATCCAAATAATGAAATAACCGCCAGTTGATTGTAATCCTCACGCATTTTCTGCCAGTAATATTCATTTTCCAGTTCTTCGCGTGAACTTTTCAAATTTTTCCTTCCAATAGCCTCAAATTTTCTCGCAATTTGCATTACATGATTATAATGAACAAATCCATGAAATTCCAGATGAAAAATTACAATGAAATTTATTGCCTAAGAAATAATAAATAATTTTAGTAAATTTGTGTTTGTAAATAAATATTGGATATTATTTACCAACCAAAATAAATGCTAAAGAGACAGATATCGCACGTAGTCAGTGATAAAGAAGATTTCTTTTATCATGACCTTCCAGACGTTTAAATCTTCTACGTTGCCCGTTCGTGCAATAACATCGTAAACACTAGCGATAGAAAAACTATATTCACCTAAAAGTTTATTATTAATAATTATTATACCAATAATTATTATATTACTTAATATATTTAAGTAATATATGTTTAGTTGCTTGCATAGTGCTATGTTCTATATTAAAACTGCAACTCAAACTATTGGAAACTCAAAATTTTGGGTTTGAACGGCTATTTAATTAATTATATCAGTTAATACTTACATATTGTGATTGATAAAATGAATAATGTAGTTAAAAGCGTGCCGGTGAATAAAGATTTGCGCTTTTTCTGTGTTTTGTAACAATTTGACTTAAAAGTTCTTCTACACGGCGGTGTTGCATTAACTCAAACCAATCTTATCCGATATTTAAAATTGCCAGTGCATTAAAATCAGGACATATATCATTTAATACATCTATAATAATATTAAAATTGATTATTTGCTGTTTTATAACAAAAGAAAAACAACATAAAATAGCCAATTTACTTACTTTCGACGAAAAGAAACCGTTCGAAAAACAAATCACCAATAGTCATCGATGCCATAACAAAATGCGCTGCTAATAGCAAATAAAAGAATAACACTTTAAAGCTACTACGTTTATATTTTAATTTTTCCTGTAACACCCCAGAAACTGGTATTAAGAAACCCAGAAACATTTGACTCAACACTAAGATTACGTTTTGTGTTTCATGCAATTCAATACCGGAAAACGTACACATCGTAATTAATTAATTAATTTTTGTTTATTCGCTCGCAACTGAAGTTAATTTAGCTTAAATATTAGTTAAATGCGTGAACATATGATACAAAAATATGTACAAATTGTGACCGGTGAAGTATAACCGTACGAAGTGTAAACAAACGAATTTTATTATTATCAGTCTGCGTGTATGAAGATTAATTAGGCGTTTGAAGCAGTACGCAGTGTTATCGAAATGCATTTATCTGCGAGTGTTTTCAAAAGTGTCTTGTCGCTCAACAATGGCGCGATCATCTGGGTGGATTGGAAATAGGTAGGTTAATGAGTTATGGTGAAATGTAGAATTATTTATGAAAATTAAGTAATACATGTTTTATTTGGTTGCATAGTGTTATATTTCGGCACATATACGTCTTCAAACCATTTTGATACTCAAACCTTCAGATTATTGGAGTTACGAATGAAATTATATCAATTATTCACGAATCTAAAGGGAGTATTTAAGTAATTTAATTTTTTTTTAGTTATATAGTGATATATTTCGGCTTACATATACATCAACTCAAACCACTTCCAATTCGAAATCCATTAAAATAAGTACTAGTTGGCACCAATATTGTACCTAATAAATAAAATATGAAGTGTAACGCGGCAGTAATAAATATTCAATATTATTACTCATATCTACCATAAAAATCTCTTATCAGGTGGCAATAAGCCCAGTTTTTATAGGTTCAATAGTAATAAATCATTTATGAACCGGAAAACCCGGTTATCTTTGTATATTGTATATTTGTATATATATTATACATCTAATCAAAAACCACAAACATTAAGTTACTACTTTAATCAACTAGTTTAACACAGCCATTTGTATCCAATAGGAAATCGTAGGTCTTCCCTTAAGCAAATTTTCATTCGTGAATCAACACAGATTCATACCTCACTGTTACTTAGCAACCTAAAATTAATTAATATTATTAATA